GTCCTACTGCCTCAGACGTCCGCAGTACCCGCATCATCTGTGCAGGGTTGAGCGTCTCTGTTCAGACCAGGGCTCCCCAGAGGACAGCAGCTCTCGGAACCACACTGCTGGCATGCTGCCTAACCCCCCGGGGCCCACGAACACCCATTTCCCTGTCTCTGTCGTCCTCGGCCTGTTGCTAGGATGCTCCTCTCTGTCCTGCTGGGATGGAGGAGGGAAGGGGCATGGACAGGGACAGCCCCAGCCCCCACTGCCTCCCCCAGGCCTCAGTCATCCCTGAAGCCGTCAGTGCACGGATGGGGAGCCGAGGCCCAGAGCGGGTGAGCACGCTGCCCGTGAAATGCCCACCTGCAGCCACTCCGCCGCCCGCCTGCCTGCGGGGTGTGGACCGCCTGACTTGCTCAGGGATCCAGGGAGCCTGCGGAGAGAGGATGAATCCGGAAGTGCTTAACTGAGATTTTCCCAGGAAGCCCTCATCCGGGCCACGCCTTCCACCTGTTGTCTACCAGGGGCCCGTGTCCCGGGACCGCCGAGCAGTGCTTGGTGACGGCTGCACAGGGGAGGGCGGGAAGGGGAATGAAGAGCTCTTCCAGCTGGGCGCAGGTGGGACGGGGGGGGCCAGCGAGCCAGGCCTCTCTCGAGTTCTAGCTGAGATGAGCACCTAAACTGTGCACTGCTCTGAGGAACACCAGTAAATGCCCTCCTGTAATCCCAAACACCTCCACCCCTGACTCCTACGGAGTCTGAAACCCCCAGAACGCCCCGGCCTTGATCCCTGCAGACGAGATGCTGGGTCTCCAGGAGTCTTCTGTGTGAGCACAAATTCAGCACAGAGAATGGGAGCCGGGGCTGGGCGGTTCCAGGCGGGCACCAGGCCCACGGAGAGGCAGGGTGGGGGCTCAGCCCCAGGGCTGCCCCTGCACGTGGCCGTGGGGAAGGCCCAGCCCTCAGAGCCCATCAGTGCTCTTCTCAGGCCCCTGGGGGCTCCATCTCATGCAGGTACAACCCCGAGTCCTCTGCATGCCCACACGACCGTGAATAAACTGGCTGCCGGGCTTCCCCTCCCACGTGGTGGGAGACCACGCTCGGTCTCCCACCGAGCACTTGGCTCTGCTTCCTGCTGTCCACACACTGGCCTGTTGCTGCTCCTGGAACACAGCAAGGGTGTCCCTCCTCAGCGCCTGGCCTTCCATCTGTCTGGAAGGACCTGACCACCGGGGTCTGCTCGGCCCACTTCCTCCTGCCCCTCAAGCCCTGGCAGAGGAGACCTCCCGCCCAGCTGGCCGCCCCTCGTCCTGCCTCTTCCTCCGCCACACTCACCACCACCTGGCATCGCAAACGAAGGCTCACTTGTCTGTTGAACAAGCCAGACGCAAAGGACAAACACTGTGTGACTACACTTGTATGAGGTCCTAGAGCGTCAATTCAGAGAGACAGAAAGTTGAAAGGTGGGTGCCAGGGGCTGGGGAAGGATGGAATGGAAGGTGGTGTTTCATGGGTGCGGAGTTTCAGGTGGGGATGACGGAAAGTTCTGGAGATGGATGATGATGATAGTTGAACAGTGTGAATGTACTTACTGCTACTGGAACTGTGCACTTAAAAGTGGGGAAGGTGGTAAATCTTTTCTCACCACAATTTAAAACATCAGCTCAGACGCTGGTGGGACTGGCAGAGCACCGGGCCTCGCTGAACCTGACAATGGGTATATGACGCTGTTCTCTCTACTTCTCTATATACTTGAGGATTTCCATTACAGAGTGGTAAGGATATGTATTTGAATGAGACTGAAGGAGGAGTGGTATCTTTCGAGGCAGCTGCAATTGCACGAAGACCATGAGGGACGAGCAGGGAGCAGAGAGGACAGCTGGGGGAGGCAGGATGGACCACAGACGACATCACTTTCCAGCCCAGCCCGCTGCTTGAGGCAAAGAGCGAGGGATACTTCCCCCTGCACCGTGCCCCGCTGTGGGCTCTGCTTGCATTCACAGAGGACAGGATTGCTGGGACGGGCAGTGTGGGAAGATGAGTGTATCTGGGCATGAGGAACTCTGGAGTTTTGTTCCAGAAGTGATTATATATTTACCCGGAGGAGGGCTAACGGAAGGGGAGGCTCCCTGCAGCACGAAGACGCACCAGAGGTTCCGGTCTTCGGTGTCACTTAGACCTGGTGGCATGGGGACAGAGCGCCAGCTTCCTGACGCACCCCTTGGCTTCCCATCTCTAAGATGGTCCTCAGAAGGGATCTCTGAAGACTCCAGGTACATATATCTTTTACTACTACTCCACTCTAATTGCAGAGGATAGAAAAGTTGCTGCAGCCAATTCTCTCGTCTGATTAGCATGATCCTTCCTAATCTTCCTTTTACATTTTTATTATTATCGCCACAGGCCCTTTGTCTACATAATCTGGATGTCTGTGGACCAGAGAGGCTGGAAAAGTCAAAATCATTACTTATAGATCACACGGAGAATGAAAACCTGAGCCGCTTGCTTTGCTTTGCAGGAGAGCTGGGTAGACGCGAGCCTCTGAGGTCAAAAGGGATGAGATTTTCATGAATCCGAACCCTCAAGGGTGTTTTATCGCAAGGCTTGAAGGGTTCCAAATCCCAACGAGAGCCCCGTACTTCCAAAGGAAAATGCCATCCAGGCAAATACAAATGGGCTTCGTGATTGCTGATCGGCTGTGGCCTGATTCTCCCAGTCGCTCTGGCCAGTCGGGAGGCTGTGGAGACAGCTGGGTGCAAGTGTGTGCATGCTCGTAAGTGTACGCACGTGTGCAGCAAAGAGCTGTCTCGGCCTGAGGAACTGCAGGGACACCAGCCAGTGAGACAAAGCGCACCTCGTCCCACGGGGCACAGCTCCATCCTCCACTGGAGCCGAGGACACAGTGAGCGGCTCCTGGGACAGTGGGCACGGCCCTGGGGCGCGCGGAGTCCATGCCGACTACCGGAGTGTGCTTGAGTTGAGGGAAATGGAGCACAAGGACAGGACAGACATGGTCACCATCCTCATGGGAGCTTTCTTGGGGGCAGAAGAGACCCCCTCTGGAATTCTTTGCTACGGGAATAACCATAGGAAGGAGTAGAGTTCGGAAAATAAGAACCCCGAAGCAATACCTACTCGACAACCAGGAACAAGGTATCCCATGACCAGTAATTCTGCAGTGAGAGCATAATGCGATGGGGTCAGAACGACGGACTGAATGCTCCTTTGGCGCCACATCCCTGTCCCTGAGAAGCCAGGAGATCACAGAACGGGTGACCAGGCTTTAGGGGAGGGATGGTTAAGCCGAGTCTGAAGAGGTGGGTGAGGGTTAGCGAGGCACAGAGGGTGGAGAATGCCCAGTGGACACACTGTTTTTTCTTCATTTGATGTCTCCCCGCCCAACACCTGCCATGTGGCCTTGCTCTTGGCTCCTTGCGCATGGAGGCCCTGACAAAAAGAAAACCGGACACACCACAAGCCTGGATGCCTGCACTCTGGCCACCTCGAGTGGCCTCAGCCTGCTTCCCAAACCCCAGAGGAATGCTCTGGAGGGAGCCCTGATTTTCCTGACCCTGGTCAGAGCTGGCATTTGCAGGTGAGCACTGAGAAAACTTGGTCGACATGCAAATATTATTTTTGATCTTAGAAGCATAGGAGACATGATGACAGCCACATTTTAAATGCAAGAGGAGAAACCACAGTCTGGCAAATAATAGGCTCTTAATAATGGGCCTGCCCGTCCCCATTAGCAAAATGAGACTTTTAGTTAAATATTGGGTTCAGATTTAATTCTAAGGTAAATGAGTGTTTATTACTATATTATTTTTTTAAAAAGTCTTCTTTTTAAACCACATCTATGAATCAAGTCCAAGACATCTGCCATTCCTTCCCCAGGCAAGGAGCAGGTGTTGAGCTCCCACCTAACTTCCCCATAGCGTCCGATCAGATACTACTCCTTAGTTCCTGGTTCCAGAGCTGGTCACACTTCCCAGGGTCACCATCCTCCCACCAGGGCCACCAGAGGCTTTCTGGAAGTAGCTGGTTAAATTGGATTAGCAAGCTATGTCAGCGAGTTTTATATTCACCTTTTTATTTTCGCATACTGCCTAGATGTTTTGCCAAAGTCATTTCCCTACTATACACAAGGACTATTTTTTTTTTGCCATGTACCATGTCATGTGCCACTCAAGGGACACAATTTAATGCACTGCTCTGCTTCCCCATCTTCACTATCTCTGTGATGTGTGCGGGGCTCTGTTGCTCCATCTCACAGCGGGGTGCTCGGGAACATCCCACCTCAGAAAGGCAGTAGCCACCAGGAACTTAAAATGAAGAAGACTACCATTTGATTTTGAGCGGGCAGGTCTTAGCCAGGCCTCCGTGAGCTAAGAACACTTTCAGCCAGAGGGGAACCTACCCCAAATCCATAGTCACTGGAAGTACTGAATCGCAGACCCTCCCCCACATGTCCTGGTCACAGTGGTGCCAACCCTCGTGTGTGAAGAGGCTGTGGAAGGTCCCAGAAGCCAGGGAGACCACAAAGCAAACTTCTCCCCCAGGGGACATACATCAGGCCGGTGCTTTTCTCTCCCACATTAACCCTTGATCTGTCTGATTCCTCAGGCATACGGGCGAAGGGTCCGTCCCCTTGACCCCCAACACTCGTTTTCTCTACACACACATTTCATCTTGAACAGCCAAAAATAACAGTTCCAACCCATTCTTTCTTTTTCCCAAGCCGCTGGTTTTGCCTAAATGGATGACAATCCAACTGATCGCTAACCTCATTGGGCCAGGTGGGGTAAAACAGTCTCAGAACAGCGTTGGGCAATTCATGATAAGCATTACCATCAATAAGGAGGCACCTGTCAACCTAGTCCTCTAACTCCTGCCTGGCAATTACATCCGCACACAGCGACCGCTTAGGAGGCTATGCACACACACGCACGCACGCCATGGGGTTTCCCTCCTACAGCACGGACCAGCAGAGGATGAGGCAAAGGGCAGCGTCCTACCAAAAAGGCCATGGGGCTCCGACTGGCGCCTCTCAGTGCTCCGGTTTGGGTCCTTGTGCTTCTTGTTCCCCCTGAGACTGCCGAAACGCTTCATGAGGAGCTGTGGCCACAGGAGCAGCAACAGGTGACCATACCAAGCCCCGTCGAACCCGGGTCAGCACCAGGTGGCAGGGAGCCAGGAGGGGTGCAGCATCAGCCGGCTGGTGTGGGGCACCCAGCAGCCTCAGCCACCAAGAGCTTAGAGACACGGCTCCATGAGTCCAGGTGTCCTGGCCGGGAGCCCTCACCCCAACACAGGACAGGTCACTCTCGGGGCCAGCAGCCGCCGCGGGACTCGTGGGGCAATCCCACTGCAGTCCTTCCTCCGAGAAAGAGCGCAGCCGTCCTCCCCTCCACACCTCCGGCCACAGCTGCCGGAGCAGCCTGCTGTCCTGAAGTAGGCAAGAAGCTGCCGGAAGCACGGGCAGACGCTGCCAGTGGGTTTGTTTATGTAGCTAAGGTCAGCTGCGCACTCAGACACTGCAGGGCTTTTTCCTCCTTAAAATCAGAGAAGGAGGTAAGACTAAATAGGCAAGCGGAGGAGCCCAGGCCCGCCGGTCATGTGCAGATCTGCAGATGTCTCTTTAAAAAGACTGTAAAAGGAAACCGCCCTGGACAGACAATTCTTGGCACCAATTGGCCAGAGCACATTCCCATTATGACATGACATCACACAACTATTTTGATTCATGTGTTCCAGAGCTCCACGGGGTCAGAAGGCTCCGGCTGCTTCTTGGTGGAGGAGCCACAGGTCCCTGGGCTGGAAATCACTGAATCTATTTCAGCTCATGCTCCTTCGCGATGAAAGATGCAAGACCACCTGTTTTGAGACGGGGATACGGGGGGCCCCTGGCATTCACCGGAAGGTTCTTTAGCAAATGCACAATTTGAGCCCTGGGCTTAAGAACTGTAGAATGACAGAGCTTGCTTTAATTTATGTATTTATGTATTTATAAGTAGGCTTCATGCCCACGGGGAGCCCAACATGGGACTTGAACTCACAACCCTGAAATCAAGACATGAGCTAAGCTCAAGAGTTGGACACTTAACTGACTGAGCCACCCAGGCACCCCCCTTGGATGACAGCTTCTAGACACAGATTTTAGAAAGGATCTAGTCCAACCCCCTTCCATTACAGATGGGGAAGTTGAGGCTCAGGAAGGGGGTGGGACTTGCCCAAGGTCCTGTAGCTAATGGCAGAACCAGGGCTAGAATTCCAATCTCCTTGACTCCTAAGCCAAACCCCGATCTAATAAAACACAACAAAAATCTCATATGCATTTTGCAACTAATAAACCAAACTATAAAAATATGAGATAGAAAAATAACTTTTAAATTAAAAAAAATTTTTTTTGCTGATATCTTCACTAGATTAAAGGGAAGTTACAGGATGTGCTACTGACTAGCTTTCTGATCTTGAACAGTTACTTCCCATTTCTGGGCCTCAGTTTCCCCCCTCTGTGTATCAAGACAGGACTCGATCACATTAGGATTTCGTCGACTTCCAGAAGTCTGAACTTCTAAATGGCTGTTCGGTGTGCCTCTTCTTTCCTGCTGGGACTGATGGACAGAAACAGTGATCAAATATTTGTAGCAAGGAAGCATGAATGAACAAACAAAACAGTTTTGCCCTCAAGGAATTTGCAAATGACAAGGATAAACTGTAAAGCAATAGAAACTGCATAAAAAAAGCTGTATGTGATCAACGGCAAGTGGCCAGTCTGGACAATGAGTGCCATCAGCACAGATGGACGGAGGGGCAACTGCATGGCCCCCCTTGGAAGGGAGTGCGTGAGCTGGCCTTGAGGGTTGGAGAGTCCGGAGGAAAGGAGAAGCCCCCAGAACAAGTCACAAGACCTACCCCCAGCTGGGTCTCCCAATGTACGAGTGGATCATCTCCGTTGTTAAATATGGTAGCCCATACTTACTGGGATTAAACTCTGAAAAAGAAGCACAGGTAGGTTTTTCCCATTGAGATTTCTTTCTTTCTTTCTTCCTTTCTTTTTTTAATATCTTATCAATTCAGGTCCTAACAGAAGTTGAAATGTTCTTCTGATTTAAAAGTAAAACAAAACAAAGCAGGAGCACCTGGCTGGCTCAGTCGGTAGAGCATGTGACTCTTGATCTCAGGGTCATGAGTTCGAGGCCCACGTTGGGCATAGAAATTACATAAAAAGAAAAAAAATAATGAGTAAAAATTCACTTAAAAAAATAAAAGCAGGGGCGCCTGGGTGGCTCAGATGGGTAGGTGTCTGCCTTTGGCTCAAGTCATGATCGCAGGGTCCTGGGATTGAGCCCCGCATCAGGCTCCCTGCTCGCTGGGGAGCCTGCTTCCCCCTCTGCCTC